ATCTCTCTTTCATTTTATACTTTCGGTATTGCTCTATATTGTCTTTCTTTTATTTCTTTCACTTTCTTCTTTCTAGCACTTTGTTCATCCATTCTATACCTTTTCCCTCGGCATATTTATTTATTAGGTAACCAAAAAAAAACTTTTGCCGTTTCTTGTTAGTCAGAATTGTTTATAGTCAATCATGACTAGTTGTGCATTTTTTTCACTGTAAAATACATACCACATTTTATTCAATTACTGCATTTAAAGTTGTAAAGTTCAAATTAAATAAATATTTTAACGCTTTAAAATGTCTATTTGCATGAGCATGATTCGTGTTTATTTATTGTACAAGTTTAAATTTGGATCTAGAGTGTCAGAAGCTTGCCGAAAAATTTCGACTGCATTTGAAAAAGATGCAATAAAGGAAAGAACCGTTCGGCATTTTCAAAAATTTGCAGGAGATAAATCTCTAAAAAATGCTTCTCGATCAAAGAGATCGACAGCTCTGAATAATAACAAATTAAAAGTAGCAATCGAGACAAATTCGAAATTAACGTGCCGTTTCTATTCGAAAAAAACCTGCAATTTTATTCAATGTAAATGATGTAACCAGATTATATATATTTACATCAGTTTTTAAACAATTTCGAGAAATATGACTATGGAAAAACAGAAAAAACTTTTTTGGTTACCTAATATACAGGGTGATTTATTTTAATCTTAACAATTAAATATTTCAAAAAGAAGCCATTTTATAGAAAACGTTTCTAATAAAAGTTACTTGGTTTTGTGAAGGACATATGATGATAATCTTGATTTGATTTTGGATGAAGATCATGAGATTATTTCAAGGTCTTCATTTTTTTAAATGGGAACCTGTATTTTTTATAGCTTTTGCAGTTTCTTGGACAAAAAAAAAAAACTTTTTGTCTGAAAAAATTGTTTCATAGATCGCTTATTTTTTGAGTTATTTAACTTTAAAATTTCAAAATCTTAGATGTTAATTTTAAATGTTAATCCATTGGAGTACTTGATTATCGTGAGTCCCCTTTCCTCTCATGTTCGGGGTAACTTCAAGTTTTTTGTTGATTTAAAATATTGCCCAACTTACTTACAGAGTAGTCCTTCATGTTGGCTGAATTTGTTGACATAATAGTAAATAACATATCCTTAATATATCCCAACAAAAAGAAATAGGGTCTGTCCCCCGGCCACGCATTCACTTTATCATGTTGAAATAAATCAATTTGCTAAGAATACATTTTATTAAATAAACATGGTATCAGAAAATTACGTTCCATTCAGTAAATTTCTTTTGTAAATAATTTTTTAATAAACACAATAATCGACGGCTAAAACTTTTTAAAACATTACTCTGGGTAATGTTCTAAAAATTTTAGCCAGTCAGCAAAATGTTAGCAGCCTGCCGTTTGTGAGCAGATTCAAGCAGAATTGGCATATTGCGGCAGATTGGCATCAACTGCGTCCGCATTAAGCTTGTGTTTTGCCGGCAGAACCTGTCAACATAAGCTGACAGCAAATTGTCGGCAGAAATCGAGCAGGACTTGGTTTCTACCGCCAATCTACTGTGATAATTCCGAGCAAATCCTGCTCGGTTTCTGCTACTAATCTGCTGTCAAATTATATCAGCAGGTTTTGTAACATTTCTGCTGACATTCTGCTATCATCATCTAATGTAACAGGTTTTATATACAATCTGTAGGCTTTCTGCTGACAAAAAATTGTTTGGATAAATCTGTTCGAACAGACTTTGCTGCTCGAACAGACTGAGGAGCTTGATAACATCAAGAGATCAAGATTATTGACAAGTGATCCCCTATTTAACAATTTTACCTTAAATTATTAATTTCAATTTTTAATTTATGAATGTATCAAAACCCAATTTTGTTTCTGATTTATTTTAATCTATTATTTTTATCTTACAGTTTAGTCACCCAACAATAAAAATGTAAACATAGAAATGTTTCGATATACGATATACTTCAACTTTCCGAATATGGTATACGAGAAGGAGTCAAAAAGTAACCTTAATATAGCAATAAAAAGAGACTGTAAATATTGTTATGCCCGCACCGCTAAATCGTTGCCCGGAGATGCGCTTGTTCGTGAAATCGTGTTGCATGAGCCGCAAGTGGATTGAAGAGCGTTGCCTAGTTACCGATAAGCAAGGTGACAGGAGAGAGTTGTACCTGATCCTTAGCGTCAGGAGAACGTGACACGAGTGTTCACTTACTTTTACTGATATTTATTATAGTTCTGTGTTCCGGTGTTGTATCAATTAAAGCAGAGTTTCTTAACCAGTTGAGTGGTAGTGTATCATATATGTACAAAAAAAAGTGCCAAACGTGATAATGTATCATATATGTACATTTTTAAATAACTCCAATAATTTTTAACAGATTTGCATAAAACTTGATATTCTAAGGTTTTTTGGACTGCTGAATTCGAATCTGATATCAAAATTGCAAAATTCAAAATGGCGGATCTAATATGGCGACTGTTAATTGTTAAAACGACTAAAATATTGAAGTTAAGTAAAATATGTATAAGATCTTATTTGTAGAGCTTTTTATGAGCTTTATTTTTTGTTTGACAACTTTTTCCGTACAATGAATACTTTCTGAAATAATTAACAAAAACAGTTTTACCTT